GCGGGAAGCGAGAGAAGAGAGAGAGAAAAAAAGAGACAGAGTAGAGAAAGAGGAGAGAATAGGAAGGTAGTAATGAAAGGGTAGAGAAAAGAAAGGGAGATGAGAGAAAATGGAGAAAGCGAAAGAAGAGTAGAGAGGAGAGAAAGAAAAGAAGAGAGAGAGAATAGGAAGGTACTGATGAAAGGATAGAGGGAGGAAAAGAAAGAGAGAAAAGAGAGAGGGAAGGAAGTGAGAGAGAAGAGAGAGAGAGAAAAGATGAGAGAGAGAATAGGAAGGTAGTGATGAAAGGATAGAGGGAGGAAAAGAAAGAGAGATGAGAGAAAGGGGAGAAAGCAAGAGAAGAGTAGAGAGGAGAGAAGAGAAGCGAGAATAGGAAGGTAGTGATGGAAGGATAGAGAAAAGAAAGGGAGATGAGAGAAAGGGGAGAACGCGAGAGAAGAGTAGAGAGGAGAGAAGAGAAGAGAATAGGAAGGTAGTGATGGAAGGATAGAGAAAGGAAAGGGAGATGAGAGAAAGGGGAGAAAGCGAGAGAAGAGAGAAAGAAGAGAGAGAGAATAGGAAGGAACTGATGAAAGTGAGAGCAGAGTAGAGAGGAGAGAAGAGAGAGAGAAAAGATGAGAGTGGAATATGAAGGTACTGATGAAAGGATAGAGGGAGGAAAAGAAAGAGAGAAAAGAGAGAGGAAATTAAGTGAGAGAAGAGTAGAGGAGAGAAGCGAGAGAGAAAAAGAAGGGAACGACGAAAGGATAGAGAGAGGAAAAGAAAGAGAGAAAAGGGGGAGAGGAGAGGGAGGCAGAGACAGAAGAGACGAGAGAGGAGAGAAAAGAAAGGAGACAGAGAGGTGAGAAGAAAGAGAGAGCGGAGATGGAGAGGAAAAAAAGAAGACAGGGAGAGGAGAAAGAGGAGATAATAGAGAGGCACTCATTAAAGGATAGAGAAAAGAAGCGAGAGGAGGGAAGAGTAGAGAGAGAGAAAAGAAGAGGGACAGAATAGGAAGGTACTTATGAAAGGATAGAGAGCGGAAAAGAAGGAGAGAAAGAAATGAGAGGAGAGAGAGAGAAAAGAGAAAGAGAGACAGAGGGGAGAGGAAGAGAGAGGGGGAAAAAGACACAAGGAAAAGTGGAGTAAGCGAGAGGAGAGAAAGAAAGGGGGAGAGAAGAGAGAGAGGAGAGAAGAAAGAAAGAAAGAAAGAAAGAAAGAAAGAAAGAAAGAAAGAAAGAAAGAAAGGGGGATAGAGGATAGGCAGGTACTGATGAAAGCATAGAGATAACAAAACAGAGATGAGAGAAAGGGCAGAGAGGAGAGAGAGAGAGAGGGAGAGAGAGGGGAGAGAAGAAAAGAGTGAGGAAAGAAAGAAAAGGAAGGTGATGATGAAAGAATAGAGAGAGGAAAAGGAGAGTTGAGAGAAAGGGGAGAGAGGGAGGTGAGTGGAGAGAAGAGAGGAAGAGAGAGGAGAGAATATGAAGGTACTGACAAAGGAGAGACAAGGGACTAAGACACAGAGCAGGAAGAGGACAGGATGTGAAATAGAGTAGGAAGGAACTAATGAAAAGAGAGAGAGAGAGAGAAGAGAGAGAGAGAGAGAGAGAGAAGAAGAGAGGTAGTGAAACCAGTGAGTGAGGGGAAGAGCACCAGAGACAGAGAGACAGCTAGTGAGGGACAGGGAGGAACAATAGGTAAGTACTGATGAAAAGAGAGAGTAGTAGAGAAAAGGAGAAGGCTGCAGGGTGCAGGAGACAGGCGCGCCGTCACCCATAACAACCCCGGATTTCAAGCTGCTGTAATGAAATCAGTGAATCAATTGCTTCAGATGGGTCGCTATTGTGCAATTTGGGCCCAATTATTGCAGAATAAGTCCTAACATGTCACCTGAATTCTGTACAAGCATCCTGACTGGTCTGCTAGCAGCCATGGAACTACAGATCCTAGCAGCCATGGAACTACAGATCCTAGCAGCCATGGAACTACAGATCCTAGCAGCCATGGAACTACAGATCCTAGCAGCCATGGAACTACAGATCCTAGCAGCCATGGAACTACAGATCCTAGCAGCCATGGAACTACAGATCCTAGCAGCCATGGAACTACAGATCATAGCAGCCATGGCGCTACAGATGCTAGCAGCCCCTGTTGCCAAAATGACAGCACAGTATGCTGTTGCCTGTAGTCCCATAGGAACCAGGAGTCCATCAATTTTTAGCACTATTCGGCCATGTTGGTACTTGTAGTTCCACAACTACAAGACGTCTGCAGTGCCGAATAGACTTGTAGGTCCACAAAAAGTAAATTTACAATTTCTAGTTCTTCAACAGGTCCATGTGTAATCTGGGCATTCTGCAACTGCTTGGGGTCTACAACTGTAAATGGACTTGTAGGTCTACAAGAAGACAATGGACATTTTGGGAGTTGCAGTTCTACAGGAGTTCTGCGTTTCACCTGGAACTTATAGTTCTACACCAGACCTCTCTGCCTGTTGCTCTACCAATGGGTCTGTTTTAGGGTTGCCTCCTTTTCTTCAAGTGAAACACTAGCGCTGCGCACAGCAAATGTTTTTTTTCGAATATAGAAGAGAGAGCGAGGAGAGGCAACCGGGGGAGGGAGTAAGGAGACCGGCTATAGAGGACTACAAATTCCAGCAATACATTATACAGCACTACAAAATTAAATGAAGCTACATACTCAGTTGTTCCATGGTGGCACCCTGATGTCTCCAGGTTGGCTTCAGCGGGCTCCTACCAGGGCTGTGTGGGCTGTCAGGTGGACCCCGTGGGCTCTCAGGTGGACTCTGCGGGCTGTGAGGGGCTCTTAGGTGGGATGTGCGGGTTCTCAGGTGGGCTATGCGGACTCTCAGGTGGGCCATGTGAACCCTCAGGTGAGCTGTGTGGACCCTCAGGTGGGCTATGCAGGCTCTCAGGTGGGCTATGTGGGCTCAAATGTGGCTGTGTGGGGTCTCAGGTGGACAATGCAGGCTTTCAGGAGTGCTATGTGGGCTGTGTGGTGTCTCACTAGGGGTCTAGGGTGGGCAGGGTGGTATCAGGACGACAGAGGAGATGTGCGGGCCAATCCGGCCGTGATCAGGGGGACCTTCCAGTGCTCGGTAAAGCGGACCACCGGAGCGGTTGAATAAATGCATGCCGGGCCAAAGAAGACATAGGGGTGGTAGATGAACTGCATGTCCACTGCGGTCACCGGGGCGGCCGACTCGGAGCACCTCTTGTGCTTGTCCTCGGTGTCCCCATAAACCGCCCAGAGGTGAAAGTCTGGGAGGAGGCCGGGGTCGTCGTTGATGCGGTCGATGGCCATCTGGATAGCGGGTCCGACTCTTGGCAGTGCCCAGGGGTATAAGGTGTTGGTTTTTGGGAGCAGCACCACAATGGTGAGGTTCTGGGCATCTTGAGCGTCATGGCAAACCACCCAGCTGGCCAGGAACACCAGGACCCATCTACCAAGCATTTTTTAGAGGGTCCCAACACTACTCTTACCCATACGCCAAGAAGAAGGGGGACTTGTGCAACTCTGCGCCCTCTTCCAAAGAGTCAGAGGAGAGTATCGCTGGCGATAGCGCAATTACAGACACACATACAAGGCATGGTTAACCGTTTCCCATCTGCGAGTCTCTTCGCTCCCATTCATGAGTCCGTAGCTGCTGGAAGTGGCTGGGTCACAGAAATTCCTATTATCCGGAGGCAGGCTTCCTTCTTTCCTTCCCCTGACTCAGTGACAAAAGGCTTGTTATCATAAGCGTTGTAGCTTAACCCCTTCCTGGCTGGATGTCACCGAGGTAAAAAAAAAAGGGTCATCCGTGTTATCCACGACCCCGACAGTGGTCCAAGTGGATCTGACAGCAGCGGAAAGAGCTACAGGGGGTACTTAGGAAAAGGGAAGGAGGAGGAGGAGGAGGTGCTGGCCGCAACCCTGAAACCTGGAGAGAAAATTGGAGATCAGAACACGGAGATTTTGGCTTTCGTAGAGCTGCAAATATTTATCCGGTGACTGGTGAGCGTATTAGTGTGAGGAGGGGCTGCGGGAAATATAGAATAAATGTCTAATCACCCTCTGGAGAGAAGGAGAGAGTGGAGAGAAAAAGAGAGACGGAGAAGAGAAAGAGGAGAGAATAGGAAGGTAGTAATGAAAGGATAGAGAAAAGAAAGGGAGATGAGAGAAAGTGGAGAAAGCGAAAGAAGAGTAGAGAGGAGAGAAAGAAAAGAAGAGAGAGAGAATAGGAAGGTACTGATGAAAGGATAGAGGGAGGAAAAGAAAGAGAAAATAGAGAAAGGGGGGGGGAAGCGAGAGAAGAGTAGAGAGGAGAGAAGAGAAGAGAGAAAAGATGACAGTGGAATAGGAAGGTACTGATGAAAGGATAGAGGGAGGAAAAGAAAGATAAGAGAAAGGGGAGGAAACGAGAGAAGGGGAGAGAAGAGAGAGAGAGAAAAGATGAGAGTGGAATAGGAAGGTAGTGATGAAAGGATAGTGGGGGGGGAAAGAAAGAGAGATGACAGAAAGGGTAGAAAGCGAGAGAAGAGGAGAGAGAAGAGAAGCGAGAGAAAAATAAGGTACTGACAAAAGGATAGAGAGAGGAAAAGAAAGAGAGAAAAGGGGGAGAGGAGAGGGAGGCAGAGACAGAAGAGACGAGAGAGGAGAGAAAAGAAAGGAGACAGAGAGGTGAGAAGAAAGAGAGAGCGGAGATGGAGAGGAAAAAAAGAAGACAGGGAGAGGAGAAAGAGGAGATAATAGAGAGGCACTCATTAAAGGATAGAGAAAAGAAGCGAGAGGAGGGAAGAGTAGAGAGAGAGAAAAGAAGAGGGACAGAATAGGAAGGTACTTATGAAAGGATAGAGAGCGGAAAAGAAGGAGAGAAAGAAATGAGAGGAGAGAGAGAGAAAAGAGAAAGAGAGACAGAGGGGAGAGGAAGAGAGAGGGGGAAAAAGACACAAGGAAAAGTGGAGTAAGCGAGAGGAGAGAAAGAAAGGGGGAGAGAAGAGAGAGAGGAGAGAAGAAAGAAAGAAAGAAAGAAAGAAAGAAAGAAAGAAAGAAAGAAAGAAAGGGGGATAGAGGATAGGCAGGTACTGATGAAAGCATAGAGATAACAAAACAGAAATGAGAGAAAGGGGAGAAAGAGAGAGAGAGAGAGAGAAAGAGAGAGAAAGAGAGGTAGTGAAACCAGTGAGCGAGGGGAAGAGCACCAGAGACAGAGAGACAGCTAGTGAGGGACAGGGAGGAACAATAGGTAAGTACTGATGAAAAAAGAGAGTACCGTAGTAGAGAAAAGGCTGCAGGGTGGAGGAGACAGGTGTCCTGATCTAAGTGTAAGAGAGAGGAGACAAGTATTATGGGGGGGGGTACGATAGCACAATTGGGAAGTGCAAGAGACAGAGGTTTATAGTGGGAACAGAGGTGAGGAAGGGAGTCTGGCAATGGGTGGAGGTGCGAGAGTGACAGAAGAGTTACAGACAAGTACTCCCAGAGAGTAACAATGGGACAGTAAATGGGGAGATGACAAGTAGGGGGTGAGGAGTACAGATACTAAAAATGAGACAGCCCGGGCTATACCTGGAGATAGACTGAGTGTGAAATCTATATTAATGGGAGGAATGACCATCACAGAGTATTGATGATGACATTATTAATAAGAGTATTAATTATATTTCTGGGAGGCGTATGCATAGTACTTAAGAGTGGAGCACAGCCAGGATGATGGAGAGGGGGTATTAGAGGGGATGGTCACAGGAGGAATTCAGGAATAATAATGAAGGGAGTATTAATGAGAGGAGTATAGTCTGGAGGTAGAAAATCAGCATGGGAGGGAGTATTGTCGGTAGTATTAGGTAGAGGAGTGTTACTGGGGGAACTATTTAGTGTAGTAGTAGTATTGGGGGCACAAATTAGAGGAAAGAGAGAGGAGAGAATAGGAAAGTACTGATGGTAGAGGAGTATTACTGGGGGTACTCTTTAGTGTAGTAGTATTGGGGGACACAAATTAGAGGAGTACTGTTTGGAGATAATAATTAGAGGGGTATTGCTGGGGGATAATAATGAGAGAATTGTTGGGGGATAATGAGAGTATTCTTGGGGAGCAAAAATGATAGGAGTATTGTTATGGGTTATTAAGTAAATAAGTATAGTTGGGGTAATAATTTAAGGAGTGTTTTTGGGGATAATAAGTAGAGGAGTATTGTTGGGGATAATAAGTAGAGGAGTATTGTCAGGGAAAACAATTAGAACAGTAATGTTAAAAAAAAAAGTTGGGGAACAATAAGTAGAGGGTTATTGTGGGGGATAATATTTAGAGGAGTATTGTTGGGGAGCAATAATCAGTGGAGTATTGTTAGGGAGTAATAATGAGAGGAGTATTGTTGGGTGTAATAATTAGTGGAATATTGTTGAGAAACAATAATTAGAGGAGTATTTTTGGGGATATTAAGTAGAGGAGTATTGTTTGGGAGCAAAAATTAGAGGAGTATTGTTGGGGAGCAAAAATTAGAGGAGTATTGTTGGGGATATTAAGTAGAGGAGTATTATTGGGGGTAATAATTAGTGGAGTATTTTGGGGGGTAAAAACTAAAAGAGTATTACAAATTGGATGGAAGGAGGGATGAAATGTTATAATAAGAGAAGTATTACACAGAAATAGCATTACACAATCCGGAGTATTAGTGAGGAGTATGTGAGTCTGATTACTACAGTCTATATAAACAAGTACTAAATGAGAGTATTTACAGGAGAGAATGGGGGTAACAAAGGAGGGTGCCCGCTAAAGAGAGGGAGTATGAAAACAGGTAGAGTATTAATGAGTCACAAAATGAGCAATGTGTGGCAGGTGGAAAAAGATGAAGAGTATTTGATGGAAGACATAGAAGCTAAAGTATATTGCTGCAAGAGTAACGGGAATATATGAGTATTATGGAGAGCAAAGTAACGTGACGCACATGGATGAGTATGATAACTCAAAATACTAATTCCTTATTTTATATGAGTGACGGCCCATGAGTCCATGCCCCTGGGTACATGACCCGCATGGGAGGCCAATGGGATGGGGCCGGTGTGGGGGAGTATTAATAAGAAACAGCATAAATGAGAGGAGGCGGAGTATTAATGAGATGCAGGCAGAAGTACACAAGAACACAGCGGAGTATTAGGACCCGCTCACACCACCATATGCGCTTTAATTTGTGCTTTTTGCAAGTCACATGTCCAGATTGAGTATTGTTGGGGAGTAGGAAATCAACACATTTAATACCCAATCAGCACACACACGTGAAACGCGTCACACACGTGTTACATTTCAATGGGACAATTACAATTTAACACGCAGCGCGCTTTGAGGAAAACTCATTTTCTAATTATCCATCTCAGCATGAAGAAAAGACTGGCGGGCAGGTCAGCAGCTACGCCGCGTTCTCCTTCCATGCCGCCCAGCGGTACGAGGCCCGTGTTACTTGTGGAGGCGGCTCGCCGTTTTTGGAGTATTTGTGTATTTCAGGAAAGTGGCTGCAAAACGAGGAGGAGCGCAGCGTGTGCGGCACAGGAACAGAACATCTTCCTGGCCAAGATGGACCTGGAGAGGGAGAACATGAGAGACCCAGAGAGGGAGGCCAAGAGGGACCCGGAGAGGAAGGCCAAGAGGGACCCTGAGAGGGAGGCCAAGAAGGACCCGGAGAGGAAGGCCAAGAGGGACCCAGAGACGGAGGCCAAGAGGGACCCGGAGAGGAAGGCTAAGAGGGACCCAGAGAGGGAGGCCAAGAGGGACTCAGAGAGGGAGGCCAAGAGGGACCTGGAGAGGGAGATCAAGAGGGACCTGGAGAGGGAGATCAAGAGGGACCCGGAGAGGGAGGCCATGGGGGACCGGGAGAGGGAGGCCAAGAGGGGCCGATCTGATTTGTCATCCCACGAAGGCGCCACACGCGTTCCGACTGGATCCGGTGGGAAATTTGCCCAGATTCAATCAGAAATTCCCAATGGAAGACGCCACGCCTGCAGTGGTCAGAGTGCGCCACTGGACGCATGGCATAGAACCGGAAGCCATGCTGGGACTCTTAGTTCCCCCAGGAGCCGGCGGACGCATGGCATAGAATCGGCAGCCATGCTGGGACTCTTAGTTCCCCCAGGAGCCGGCGGACGCAGGGCATGCTGGGAATTCTCAGGGGCTGATAATCCTCTTCCACCTTCGCTCAGATCTTCCCACACACACAGAGCAATCACAGTGTTTTATTGGCCTTGTAAAGGTGTCAGCGTGATATACACTCAGCAATATCCTCTTCCTCTTTCTCTGTGACTTCCCGGAACAGCTGACACGGCTGTCACAAGGGGTTCCCACCATCCCTGCTGGAGTCTTCAAAGAGGACCTGTCACCATCTTCACAAATCTCCATCAATACAATCCTGGCAACAAGTTTAGAAAACCTTCACCAAGCTGTCCTTGAGCTCCAGTCAGTGAATCTGCCTAGGCTGAGATGTTGTCATCAGTCTGCTGCAGGCAGGAGGAAGCATTTCTTCGTCTCCCCTCCCCCCAGTGATCAGTCTGCTGCAGGCAGGAGGAAGCATTTCCTCAGTCTCCCCTCCCCCAGTGATCAGTCTGCTGCAGGCAGGAGGAAGCATTTCCTCAGTCTCCCCTCCCACCAGAGATCAGACTGCACATTGTAACTGTGTCACAGGAGAGGCTGCAGCAGGGGGCTGATCTGTGTCAGACATGAACTGCACATGCACCGGGATTTACAGTACATGATTGTGTCATCTCAGTCCAGGAAGTAGACCGGGGGTGGGCAACTCCAGCCCTTCAGCTGTTGTGAAACTACAAGTCCCATGAGGCATTGCAAGACTGACCGTTGCAGGCATGACCTGGAGTTACCCACCCCTATAGTAGACAGTGACCCCGGATGATGGCTGGACAGACATGGCACCGTCCTTGTGGAGAGAAAAGCAGATGAAGGCATTGTCGGGGGGGGGTAGTCATGTGATACTGCAATAAATACTTGGAAGAGTTACACTGATACATTTCATAGAATATATATCATGACAGGTCCACTTTAATAACATGGGAGGCGCAGGCTGGGCGGGGTGACCTAAAATCCCAGGAACAG